CCCCGAGCGCGGCAAGGGCTTCGGCCGGCTCTCGGACCTCAGCAGCCACCGGCGGCCTCACACGGGCGAGAAGCCCGACGCCTGCCAGGACCGCGGGAAGAGCTTCAGCAAGAGCTCCTCCTTCGTTAGACACCAGAGAGTCCACGCTTGAGCACGTTTTGGGGCTGGAGGAGCAGTGGAGGAGGCCATAACTTTCCAAAGAAGTTATAGAGAAACCGTACTTTCCCATCAAGGATGAGAAAAGCGGCTGCCGCTTTTCCCCTTTCGACGAGGAGAGCTGCAAGGTGGCAGATCCCAACGTTTCCATCCCAGACCTGGGCGGGAGACCAAGAGGGGGATGGGCACAGTAGGATTTTGGGGACCTCGTGGCGTTTTCAGTAATAAACGTGGAGGTCCACCAGGATGGCTGTGAGATCGTGCCTGCCTGGGCTTCCCAGGCTTGCTAAGCCTTTGCAAGGGTCCATGCTGGGACATCCCTGTGCTTGGGATCCGGCCACGGTGACGGCACGGAGCAGGTCTTCTGCGGGGTGGAGCAGATGGTCCTTCCCATGGGGAGAGGTTCTCCAGAGCCCTCCCACGAGAGGACGCGTGTTTTAGAAAGGCACCATCTATGCTTTAAGATGAGACTGGGCCAGATGAGCCCACGGCTCCTGTTTCCGCTTACCCAGGTGGTTGGTCTCGGCCGTTTCTGCACCTCTGGGCAGGTGGAAAGCGCTGGGAGAAGGAGCCAACGTGGCCTGGGGTGGAAAGGCTTTGGGAGCAGTGTCAAAGTCACCATCGCCTGGCTGTAAAATTATTAGGAGAGGCAGTTTTTGACTTTCTTTTTTTTGAACTGATTCGGAGGGTAACACGTCCCGCTGGGAGACCTTGGCTGCCAGCAGGACCTCTAAGTGCCTGGTATGGTCCATCTTGGCATGGTCCAAAGCCCTGGGAAACCACCTCTTTTCACGACCCTAAAAGCCGATTTTTTTTTTCCTCCCGCTCCGGCCTGGGAAAGGAGGAGTGCAGACACCGCGCCGTCGGGGTAACTAGACTCTAATTTATTTACTACTCCTCGAAAGAAAGAGAATCAAAAATAAAAGGCGAGCCGCCAACGGCGAGCGGCTGCACGGAAACGCGAAGCCGGAGCGCGGCGTCTCGGGAAAGCAAACGCGCACGTTGCTGCTCACAAGCGGTAAAACGACACTTCCAAGCCGGATCGCACGTACGGGCACGCGGAGAGACACACACGGGCAGCCCAAGTACAAAAGCAAACGCGCGCATACTAGAAAATATATAAATCTCGGTTAAATTCAGTAACTGCTTCCCTAAGAGCGCCGCTTTAATCGTTGGCTTTCCCGCGGGGTAGGACGCGAGGCATCGCGCTCTTTTTCTTTTTTGTCCCCGGCACGACTGTTTGCACAAAGCGCCGCGTCCCGGCTGCACCTCCGCGAGCGAATCGCCCCCTCGCCTTCCTCCGCACCCAGCCCTCCTCTTCCTCGCCCTTCCCCTGCCCTTCAGACATCCCGCCTGGATTTTTCCGGGGCGAGCGTCCAGGCCCGCAGCTCTGATCTGTGGTTTTGGGCTAATTTGGCCCAAAACGATCCGTTAGCTGGAACGCGGCGGCGCCGGCGGCTGAACGTTGGAGCCGGGGCTGGCGTGCGAGCGCGCCGACCCCCCCGTCTTGGCAGGAACGCAAAGATTTGGGACGTTATTTTTTGAAGACCACCTATCGCCAGGTGGGCACCTCGGATCTGGGCTCCTTTATGATTTAAAAGCGGGTTCTTCCCCCCCATCCCGAGCGTGTATACGGGCCCCGTTCTGCAAACGGCCACTTGCAAGGCAAATCCTCGCTGACGTTTGGGGTTTTTTTGCAATGAAGCCGAGCCCGGAGGGCGTCTTCGCGCAGCGATTCCTGCCCGGCAAAGGCAGCCGCTTTGCACCGGGGTCAGAAAGAAGGGAACCTGCCTCGTTCCTTGACTTACGCCGGGTTTTTCCACCGCAAAAATAGAGAAGCGGCCTCGGTGCTGCCCTGGTTTTGCTGCCTGCGTGGCCAAGATCATGCACTTAGCGTCACTCGCACAAAGCTGGGGGACGCGGGACGGTGCCCTGGGTGAAGGTGTTGTACCCTCTGCCCACCGCCGCACGGAGCGGGAGAGACCCCTCTCGGCTCTTGCTCCGCCGAGGAGCAGGAAGGGAAGGTGCAGCTCCACGTTGCCGTCCTCGGGATGCTCGCGATGCACGGGGGCATGGTGCGATCCATGGTGTAGTGATGCACGGGGGCACGGTGCGATCCACGGTGCAATGTGCAGTGCAATCACGCGTGGGGGCACAGTGCAACACACAGTGCAGTGATGCACGGGGGCACGGTGCGATCCACGGTGCAATGTGCAGTGCAATCACGCGTGGGGGCACAGTGCAACACACAGTGCAGTGATGCACGGGGGCACGGTGCGATCCGCAGTGCAGTGATGCACGGGGGCACGGTGCGATCCGCAGTGCAGTGATGCACGGGGGCACGGTGCGATCCGCAGTGCAGTGATGCACGGGGGCACGGTGCGATCCGCAGTGCAGTGATGCACGGGGGCACGGTGCGATCCGCAGTGCAGTGATGCACGGGGGCACGGTGCGATCCGCAGTGCAGTGATGCACGGGGGCACGGTGCGATCCGCAGTGCAGTGATGCACGGGGGCACGGTGCGATCCGCAGTGCAGTGATGCACGGGGGCACGGTGCGATCCGCAGTGCAGTGATGCACGGGGGCACGGTGCGATCCGCAGTGCAGTGATGCACGGGGGCACGGTGCGATCCGCAGTGCAGTGATGCACGGGGGCACGGTGCGATCCGCAGTGCAGTGATGCACGGGGGCACGGTGCGATCCGCAGTGCAGTGATGCACGGGGGCACGGTGCGATCCGCAGTGCAGTGATGCACGGGGGCACGGTGCGATCCGCAGTGCAGTGATGCACGGGGGCACGGTGCGATCCGCAGTGCAGTGATGCACGGGGGCACGGTGCGATCCGCAGTGCAGTGATGCACGGGGGCACGGTGCAAGCTGCAGTGCAATCCGCGGTGCAATGATGCATGGGGGTGCGGTACGATCTGCAGTGTGATCCATCGTGCAATCCGCAGTGCGATCCACAGTGCGATCCGTGGTGCAATCTGCCGTGTGATCTGCGGTGCAAACCGCGGTGTAACCTGCAGTGCAATCCATGGTGCGAGCCGCAGTGTAACCTGC